ACCCAGAAGACAGAAATTTTCATCCTATTACTTAAACCCAGAAGACAGAAATCTTCATCCTATTACTTCTTCTTTACGTAAATCCAGATATTATCAGAGCACCCTGTTTTAAAATATCCTAAACGTATTCTTCGTTTAGGCACAGAGACTAAGTTTTACACACATTAAAAACATGATATATTTTAATTCTTAGGTTTTTTTGGTGAGAGGCTGGAAGACAAAAGATTTTCGTAACTAAACTGAAGGGTACATACCTCGGATTTGTTTATTTCAGTATGCAGCCCTTGGGGAAAACTTTTATATGTCATGTCATTAATGCCTGCTGGCTAATAGCTTGATGGAGTGTGCAGCCTCTCTGTTCAGATCCCACCCATTCGTAACGTGTTATTATTCGTCTGATGGATGATGGTCCTACCTCATCTGCATCTTCAGTCCTTTCCCGCACCACTACACCCTGTTTTGAAAAGCGCTTTAACCGCCACTTCTGGCAATCAAGGACAAACTCACCACCGTTGTCGAAATCTGTCACTCTTGGTACTGACAGACTACCAGTACAAATAAATGAGGACTATTTCAATTTTGGCGTGAAATACATCAGAATCTGAATATTACATCCATGCTAATATTGATAATTTTCACATAAATATATGAAGAATGTTCAAGATTACTGGCTTCTGGTGTCTTGTATTCTGATACGAATTTAAACTTTTAGTTTATTCGGTTGATTTTCTCTTGTGTATATTTCTGTTCCATAGAATTAGATTCTCATAAATAAAATCTGAGCTTAATCTCTTGTGCCACAAAATTTCTTGCATAACATCTGCATATTTATTAACATTCCGCAAATATTACAGTATATTTTGTTCTTGATTTCTGATTCGTCATTGTAATGATGTGTTGTGTTCAGGGACTGCAGAATTACAGCGAGGTTTATGTATTTTGTTCCATCCTTCTTGTTTACGTCACTTGAAATTATTACGTTCATAAATGCTTGTCACTTCTGTTACGTGCTGAGTTTATATAAAGATGTACTGCAGTAAAATACAATTACTTTTTGAACTCCGTGCAGTTTGGTTGCCAGTGATTCAGATTAACTTTCGAACAAACACGATCGCTTAGGGCCAGTGGAGTGTAGGGGAAAATGACTAAAAGTTTCTATTAAAGTGACTCATCTTTCTATTGACCCATTGGCTGCATGGGGTTTGGTTTAGTCGAATAAACAGATGGCAGGTTTTATACAAGCATCAAGCACACGTTATTTCCGACAGTACAAATTGCACTGCATAGGCTGACATTAACCAAAGCGCTTGTGGATCTTTGCATTAAGCAAAGATCTTACGAGATTTAAAGTTTGTTCACAGATGAATCTTTGGATTTTGGCCTGGGTTGTGGCAACGTGTAGTCGTTTATGTGGGTACCAATACTTCAGAGGAACTTGACGCCTCCATCTTCAGGATATATTAATATGCAGGCGATTTGTTGGCTGATTACGCGACGTCATAATCCAGAAAGTCATAATCTAAGCAAAATCTTGTGTACAAAATATTTTTATTACCAGAATGTAAGGTATATCGAACACTTGGGTTCAAGTAACATCACGCGATGACGAAGTATAGGAGAGTTTTAGGTTCCACTTATTCTAAGTCTACACACTACGTAGAACTGGATGGCTAGCTTCACGCTGTGACTGATTTACTCCTCGGGAGAGGAAGATACGCGACTGGGTGTATCTCAGATCTCGATTCGGCGGCAAAGAAAATAAAAAATGACCCAACCGAGAATCAAACGCCGATAGCAAGCTTTCAGCTGGTCACTTTATTGACGGAAAACATGCGAAGTTGTGTAGTAATTTACATTTGTAATTGTCCAGCATATATTCAGTCATAATGCTTGTACTGTGATGGTCTCTATGCGTACATTATTTCGTTATAATTATGAATTTATAATGGAGCCACTTATAAATTATATTACAAATCAGTACACGTTGCATAATATCAGTCTCATCGTGCTCTTCGTAATTAATAACAATGACTCAGTAATTTATAATACGCTTCACGATAAATGTTTCTCTGCTACATGTATTAACGATAGGCACACTTGAAAATAATACCATATTTTCGAATTTTCTGGTATTTCTCGAAGCTGTAAATAAAAGTTTTAGACCGAACAAAACACTCTCTAAGGGGTTATATAAAAGAATGTCGGTGTTTCATATTAAAATGCGATAAGATAGAACAACAAATTATGACTTGCAATAATAATACTGTACTTCTCTATTTTAGAAGTGATTATTATTTTGATATAAGCTACTTCCGTGGCTTGACATGCATCTAACCTGTAATACAGATGTTATTATCCTCATCAATCTAACTGACGTCTGCACTCCATGGTAATAATTTTGGCTTCGCTCGTTGCTACTTGGCTTATGTAACAGGACTGCAAAGCTGTTCTCTGTACTGTTACACATTAACATTGCCCCTACTGTGCGTATAAGAAGGAAGTATTATTTTCGAAGACAGGACTAAGTAAAGCAAGCCCAAAGCTTTGGAGCTTTCCTTTCCTGTTCTGAATTTTCATTGGATAGACATGAACGCAAATCGACTGGCAGCAGCTGGATTACATGTTAGATGTTTTCTGACCGAGGAACTTACGTCATGTCCAAAGAGTACCTATTTTATATATATATATATATATATATATATATATATATATATATGTATATATATATGTATAATGTTGTGCTATTGTTTGCAATTCACAATTTTTCATTCTTTCTTAGCCCAGTAAATAAATACGCTTAATTAAATTCGGAGTAACGACTTCATTTTACGGACGTTGTGTATTGTATCATAAAGACCGATCACGGCACTGAATAATTCAGCTAATTGCTTCGAAATAAGCCATTTATGATGATTGTTTTCTAAAGAGTTTGAAGCCGATTATCAGTGTAATTTTGGGATTTTGTGAATAAGCTAATGAACTTTAGAGCTTAGGAAACAATGCATTTTTTGACCAGCTTAACAACTAGTAAGTTCAATACGGGGCGAGTACTCACGCTCCAAGCACGTTGTACAGCTCCAGAGTGAAGTGGTAATAGCATATCTTCGGAGGCTCGTCTTCGCGGCAAGCTCTGGCACATTCTTCGGGGTTTGACAGAGAGGGGTTTCGCTTCAGTTCAAGAAGACCTCTCTGTCCGAAGTCGATGGTGCGGTACCCAGGCTGTTGGCCGGGTAGATTGCCGCTAGCACTGCCCAGGGGGTGGGTTTGCACCAGGCCGTGAGTTGACGTGAAGAAATTCGTGTTGTCTGCAATATCAGAGGACTGCTGCTCCAGAACTGGGTCGCTGATGTCTTCCTGCCACCAAGACGAAGATGTGGACTGATCATCTCTCACAATCGGCGATCGTGGATCTGTAAGACGATAAGCACGATGTTTACGTTCATCCAACATCAGAACTACATAAGACAACACCCACTGAGACCTGTAGAAAAGAATAATATGTGTTTCCACGAACTCTGAGAAAGAAGATTCCATCTTACAAAATACTCAGCGACATTACTACAAGAACGTCGTAGCCAGGAAACAATGTAGAATCTGAAATAAACTTTATTTACTACATTTTATGCTCCTTAACCATTGTATTAGAGATTTGAATTACTCTGTGCATCTTACATGGTCGTTTAGTAACAACAGAGTTGTTCAGGAAATAGGTTTATATCAAAACCAGTTAATATAATATATTATTATTATTATTTAGTGTTCTGTCTGACGACAGGTCCATATGAACAGGATCCTTCCATCCTTTTCTCGGACTGGGACCTGTTCATATACGTTCTTGGCAGATGATCCAGAAGTGGTTTGCCATTGCCTTCTTCTGTGTGTGAATGGGATGCCACGGAGAAACCGGGGAAGCCCCCGGAGGAAAACTCCGTGTTGCCTAGACCACGGCCTTGCCCAACACAAGTTATAAATTCGGGCACCGCCGGGAATCGAACCCGAACCCCAGGATTACAAGGCCAGTGTTCTAACCGCTAGACCATCGTGGCGGAATATAATATATACAAAATTGAAATGTAAATGTAATGAGAGGACGAAGGTTGGAAGAGAAACCACAAACTACACTGACCGGAACAGATAAGACGCAGTTATTTAAGCGCATCTCGCCTCATTCGGTAGAAAAAGAATTAAACAAGAGACAAACGTGTTTACTTTCACTACAGAGGGTTTTCTTTATCATCTAATGATACAATGTAACGATTTGATTAACACTCGCAGTTTGACCCGGACATCAAGTTAGAAAGCTGACAACATTAAACATCGTGAGGCACGTTAATTTTTTAGAAATGTTTTCATGACATAAACGGAATAAAAGAAGGACAAGAAAATCATCATCGGCCACAAAACACTTGGAACAGTGTCAGGAATTGTAAAAAAATTCCCGTGTTACGAAAATTATTGTATTTGATGTCGTTAAAGTTAAAACACATTAAATTTTCGTTAAATAAACGGAGGAAATACATTTGTATCAGAAGAACTTTACCATTAGTACCAACGAGGGTTGAAGTTATATGGCATTCTGAAATGAAGTAAACTTTTCGTGACAAAATGCAGGATCTTTACTGCTTATTAATGGAACCTGTGCAGAATTGGATATGTTGCGTGTTCTACAGCAGTTGACAGCATTCCATCAGCTCGCAGTCTAGTTAAATGACTTTGATTGATCTCAACATAACGGTTTGACTTACATAAGAATGCGCTTTGAAATGTCACTCTTAGATACATGTAAGTTAAACATCTCACATTCGATTAATTCACTTTTTGTTCAGGTTTGTACAAATATCATTCTAGCTCATGCAATGACAGATTAAGAAATCAAGGGCTTTTATCAGATGTATTCTGAACGCTGTTAAAAATATTTTTCAAGGAAACAGACTCCATTAATTAGAATCCTACTTGAGTAGCTGATAATCGCTCAGCTTGAAAATAAATTTATCGTCTTTTGTGGAACCTGCAAGTTCTTTGTCGTGTTCACAAGAACTCGCTACAGAAGTGTCCACTGGCGAATACTGAGGTCTGATTAGTACTGCACGGCCATATTTAAGAAAGTGGATGAATGACAAATAAATGTTTCATTACGCAACACAAATGTGGCATAATAATAATAATAATAATTTATTTGGTAGTATATTTGCGTCATATTGTGAATTAGGTTAATATTTTAATATTTTCCGTCAAATCACATTGTCGTGTCGCGTTATAAAAGGAAAGAGTATTTTTTACCAGAATCTTCCAACATCTGAATAAGTCATTTGCAGCAAAGAGGAACCTGGCTGAAAGATTATGTCTTAATTCACTGCTTACGCTTAAGTAAAAAATTCTCGTATTTGCGTTGTGGGCAAACAAATGCCAACAGTGTCCATGATGGAATGATAATTTATTTCGTACTTAAAATCCTTAATAAGAGATAAGCATCAAAATGTCGCCGTCTGGAATAGCATAAAATATAAACGTTTACAATTAAATAATTACTACGTAAAATATCGTACAGAAAGAAGTGATAATAACACACTGGCAAATTGTCCTTTTATATTTTCGGTTTTACTGGAGTCGATCGATGGAAGAGAAAATGATGATAATGATTCAATTCAATTCAATTAATAATAATTAATAATAATAATAATAATAAGCATTGCTGTGCTATTTATTTTTTTGGGATGAAATGCTATTGAATTTAATTGAATAAAAATTTTCTTGGATATTATCCATCGTCAAGAAATTTTAGATTTGCTATTGAATTTCCTGACTTACAGACCAGCATTCAACACCGAAACTCCCCACAAGCAGTTGAATCCACTACAAACTTTCACACCACATGAATCGAATATCCATTTCAATATCATCCCATCTACTACAAAGCATTCTAGGCCGTTTCTTTTCCTCCCAACGAAGTTTTGTATGAACTTCTGAACTCCATTCATGCTATTTATTCTGCACATCTCAGCCTTGATTTGATCGCCCAAATAACGTTTAATAAAGAATGAACTTTGTGATGCAAATACAATTTTTGTGTAAAACCTCACGGACAGACGAATATATGCATTAAAGTAGACTTAGGTTTAGGCTGTGAATATGTTTTTCGATTGAAGTACTCAAGATTACGGACAGCTTTTGTAGATACGTTGATGAATTTTTGGTTTATGTAGTGCCTCAGATGTGTTCTATAGATGCACGTTTACTGCCGTCAAAGTTGGTACCACTGCTGAATTCTGTAGTAGCGACATTTAGGTAACTTGTTTCTGATGCAGTAAAAAATGAGTCATTAACAAGAATGAGTAGCTATTGATTCAGGTCAATAGGCCAGACTATAACAACAAATGTTTTCAGTTCCGCTTTCCATTATTTGAAGGAATGGAATGCAGATTTCTTTTTATCCGTTCTTTTCATAAAATGTACAAATAAACGATTAAAAATGAGGTTTGTCCATCTGCCCGCATGTTTCGTATTTGGAATCGGTTAACAGAAGAAGCTCGAAATTAAAGTGACGAATCAGAACGAGATTTTAGGACCGCTATCAAATACCCAGTTCATTTGAGTTGTTTCAGTCTTGAACTTCCTCTGTTATTTTCCGCTTGTATATTTAATGATTTCAGCGTAATGAAGATATTGTTCAGCTGTTACTTCGAGAGTACACAAAAATTGATAAATTATCATAAAAAGTATAAAATCTTAGTTTATATTAAAATATCAGTTTTATACAGGTTTATATTTCGTTTCTTTATGGGTGCGAAGCTTGGCTCCTGAGGAAAACACAGATTGAGGGTGTGAGATTTTAAGCGGTGAAGATGATGCACTTTTTGGTTTTGAGGTCGTGTAGACACGTCGCCGACCCCCAGAAGATGATCATTATTATCATCATCATCGCAGACTGAGGGTATTTAGAAAGAAAATTCTGGTTAGAATATTTTGAGGTAAATGAAAAGTACCAGTAAGTGGAAATTGTTATGTAAAGTGAAGCTCTACAATTTATAGTCTTCACAAATATCACCATAAGTTTTATGTAAATGAGGAACGGTTACAAAATTTTAGTTGTCGAACCTGAAGGGAAGACCGCTCGTGAAACCTAGACGGAATATTGTGTTACAAATTGCTGAGTAACATTTAGACGTTTTGTGCTACGTGATGGAGCAAACCTCTTACCCTCCGGTCATCTATTCCTCTCGCATTATTTTGAAGCCTTCTGCATAGTCACACTCAGGCCGTACATCATCTCTCGGTCTCTTTTCTTCTTGCCTGTGTTTTTTTTTTACGAACTTACAGGTGAAAATTAAATCAGTCTTCTCTGCGTTAGATGTCTGTGACACATTGCTCATTTGTTATTGTTTCGATGGGGTCATTTAAGCCTGATTTATTTAATTCTGTCTTCTTAATCATAAATGTAGAACATATTAGATTTGGACAGACACACCTTCTCGTCTTCTTCTTCCATCAATATTCCTGTTCTTGTTTTAATTCTGACACACTAAGTAAGATACAAGTGCGTCGTATCATTAAAATCTACTTTCACCTTCTTTAAAATAGTTCCATGTTGCTTTCATATCATACGATCAGTTCAAGAGTTCGTATTCAGGGTTTATTACATTTCCTGTCTTAACTAATCTAGAATTTAATTTCGGGCGGCGAATTTTAACAGTCAGTTAAAACCGCATTACGTAACCTGAGCTGATATATTTCAGTCATTAATGTGACTTGGTTGTAGGCTGAAAAATTGCTCTGCAATATCCGGCAGATGGTGAATTTACACAACCGTCCATCTAGCAGATCACAAAATGGTTTTTCGCCGAGCTAAAGCGACTGAAACCTAAGGCTGACAACTCGCCACTGTCTATAGCACTACCACGATTTAATGATCCTTCGAATTAGCAGTGATAAAAAAATATATCTTTTGTGGTGCTTCGTAAACGGGAGGTCCCGACTTACAATATCACCCCACAGATCGATTACATCGACTGAGGAATTGTTCGTGGTTTTTATCAGTCCCTCTAGGCAAATATCTGATTAGAACAGCTTTATTTTATATTTCGTTATTATATAATAATTTTATTATTCGATGCTACTGTTTAATATAATTGACATATACTATATAGTAAAGCAGACGTATAGTATAATATAGTAAAATATAAAAAAATAATCATCGAAACAAATTAATATATGTGAACGGTGGGTCCAGAAGATTACGGAAAACAGCGGTCATTTCCTGTTAGCAAGTACTCGTGAAACGTCCGCTTGGAAAGAGAAAAGAATCTTAGTCACTGGTCAAGATTGTAAATGGGTGTCTCTCAGATGAAAGCCAGACTTGTTTACCTCGTGACTTAAGGTCAGTTGAACGAAGTGTCGCGTCTTTTGACGTAGT